AGAGAGGAGCGAGGGGCGAGGACGAGTGAGAGGCGAGGAGCTGGGAGCGAGGAGAGAGAGGTTAGGAGCGAGGAGGGAGGCTTGAGACGTGGCCAGCACACGAATGCTTCAATGGCCTCGGCACGCGTGTTGCCGAGCATCTGACCTCCTCACGGGTCGCTCATGGGGCCCTCTTGGCCACATCTTGAGGCCTTCCTGGGGCTCCTTTGGGCCCCTCCCCTGGGGCCCTCCCGCGCCTCCTGGGGCCCTCTTGGTGGAAAGTCGGGCTTGCGGGTGCTGCTGTGTGTGGGGGGCTGCGGGGCGCTCTGTTGGGGGTGCTGTGGCCACCCAATGCCCTCCTCCTATGCGCACGCGCCGCTGTCGCGATTTGCGCAACCGCGCAGTGTGCCCTTGCGGCCTTGGGGTCGACACCAAACGCGCGCGCCGCGACCAGTTTATGTGCGCCAGCGCGAGGCGTTGGCCTGGGAGGCATGTCAAGTGAATCGTAGCGTAGCAGCCGCGGTTGGTCGAACATGTCACCCTTAAAGAGTCGAGAGCCGCGTCCTCTTCCAATGTCGTGTACAATTGGAGTGCCCTTTGGGCAGCGGCCTCCTGGGGAACCCCAGTCGCTGGATCTGCCCCGCCATCGCCGTGGGTGGCGGACGGAGCGCAGCTGCTCTTCCTGCTGAGCTGTGCCTCGTGGGATGTCGTTACGGTCCCTTGCTTGCTGGTCGGCCACGGCCGCCAGCATGCCAGCTCAACCGAACATGCCATCGAAGTCACGGCCTGGACGTCCAGATCGTTACGCCCAGCTTCCATATATCTGGTGGGCGGCGGCACGCGCAGCCCGCCACGTCTCCATGTCCGAAGGCCGGTGTCTGTGACCGCGTTCGACTGTCGAGGCATGCAGCCGTCGTGGTTGACGAAGCGGCGCGCTGCAGCGTGCTGGCCCTCCTCCTCTCTTCCGCCTCCCCCCTCCCCTCCCCCTCATCCCCCTCCTCCCCCTCCCCCCCCTCCTCCCCCTCCTCCCCCTCCTCCCCCTCCTCGTCGTCCGCCTCTCCCCCTCCTCCCCCCTCGGAATGCGAATGGCTCAGCGCCTCGGCCGACCAGAGGTGCGGCTCCGCAGCTTCGCGGGAGGCGCTCCCGCCGAAGGCCGCCTCGAGAGGGCAACGGTTCGCTCCTCTTCAGCTTCCGAATCGCGGTACCGCGATGTGGATCCTGGCCGTAGGGGTGGGAACGCTCGGTGTGAGAGCACGGTTGCCCACCTCCTCCCCTCTCCTCCCTCCCGCGTGCTGTTTTCGCTTATGTTTTCACTTGTGGTCGCTGCTTGCACGTGGATGTCATAGTGTTAATTTGGTGGATGCTTCTTGTCTTATGTCGGGCCTGTCCCTCTACAGGAGAAATATTCAAAAATAATCCCCCAATAGTCTGGGGACTATTTTCTAGTACCTTTCGACCATTTGTGAGCATTTTTCGAGTTTTTTTTTTTCGTCGAACATCCCCCTGTAGGGGGACCGGCCCGATTTGATTCCTGTAACGGAGGTGTTCTCTCGACCTCCATGCGCCGGCCGTCTCCTCGGCCGGCGGGCAGGTAGCCTACAGTCGAGGCGTTGACCTAAGGAACCCTAAATAAGGAACGAGGGGCCTTTTTTCCATAAGTTAAACTTCGATTTCGCATCGAAGACCTACGGAAAATCCAAGGCAAGCTGCGGAACGATTAAGGAACACGGAGCCCCTCCCCAGCGAAAAGGGTTCCCTCTTCAGGGCCCCGACTGTGCTCCTGGTGTCCCGCGGAGCTCACTCGCGGCGTGCTTGCCATGCGCCTTGTCCTTCAGGATCTCGCCAGTCGTTGGCCCTCGGCCCCCTCGGCGGGGTGGCGGCAGGCAGGGCGCACCTCTCTGGCTTTTCAGCTCGCTGCTCGCCAGTGTACGATTGCCTGTTGCACGTTTCGCTGGCCCTGCGGGTTTGGTGCCTCTGCTCCAGCATTTTGGCTTCCAGCGGGCGTTGGTGCGTCCTCCTTTAGCAGTCTGCCCTCCCCTCTCTTTCCTCTCTTCTCTTCCTGCTTCCGCCTTCTCGTGAGAGGATCCCAGGGTTATCTCCTACTATCTGCGACGCCGCATGGGCTTTGGCCAGGTTTGTGCTGCGCGTTCGTTCTCTCTCTCTCTCTCGATTGTTGTTGTGTGAGGCTTGCTGATATGAGTGATTGTTTGGACAACATTCACCAGCCTGGAACATATCACTATCCCTATGATTGGCACCGCCTCATCTCGATGCCAATCTTAGGGAGTCCCTCCGTTTCTGAGGGCGCATCCCTGAGATTGTCGTCGACTTTTGGCTTGCTAATCTTAGGGATGGGGATGCGTTCGAGGCTGGTTAAACATGGGATGCAGACGTTATCGGTCGTCGCGGGCGGGCGGAGCGCCACGCCGTCCAGAGACGTCGCCGGCGTGCACGCACGGACGAATTCTTTTTGCCGCTTCCCCCTGCTGCTGCTCGTCCTTCTCCAGCCCCCCAGCGCTCATACGCTCTTGTCGCAGGCCTAGAGGTTGACACCAGCACCAATTTCGGCGGTGTGCCTGCACCGAGGGAAGAAAGATCCCGATCTCGGTGATGGTGGTAATATTCTGGATTCCATGGTGGCCGAAATATTACCACTAACACCGAAATCTAGGATCATCTTCCCCATGTGGAGGCAACCCCCTGTGTTGGTGTTGGTGTCAATTTCCAGGCCTCCAACCTTGGGAGATTATTCGCATCGCTCCATGCTCCATTCCTGAAGCCCTTGGTTGACTGTTTGACGAGTGGATCGGCAGGATGGTCGTCGCGCCTCCCCCTTTCGTCCCTCCTCCCTTGCTCCAGAAAACAGTTGATGGATACTCCTGAAGACGGCCCAACAAAAAGCTATTTCTGACGCTTGCAGGGGAAACATAACCTTGTAATATGGCGCTCAGCTTCGGCAGGCGTGTTCTGACGCAACTGGGCGTATTTTCTGAATACCGCATTGTGGGAGAACCAGGTGCCTCGTGCAAGTGCTCGTCGATAGAAGTGCTTCGCATGGCCACCTGGGTCCACTACCTCGCATGCTGCAGGTTGCTAATCATCGCCGGAACTTGTTGCCAGAATTTCACGCGTTATTCCCAGCGTGATGAATTATGTTATCCGAGGTTCCTTCACACGTTGCGTTGAGAAGCAGCAGAGTCTGCGGCCACCGCCAGTCTTTCTCGCACCTGTTGCTTTTACCGTATGAGCTCAGAGGTTCTGGAACCCGATGTTTCACCTGGTGTTTCGCTTTGACGCTGGAAAGCGTACTGCCAATACTGGACTCTCTTGTACGCAATGCTCCGAGCGTCGCGGCTGGCGATGCTAGATTCCGAGTCATCTTATCGCATGTCGTTGGGGAAAAGTTGTCGCAATCTAACCTTCCAGCGTCGACCCTGGTGGTGTTCACATCCGATATATGATCTGATCCCAAAGGCGTACTTTGCTTATCTCGGTGGTTTGCCATGCACTGTTTCACTCTTCGCACTGATCGGGGTCGTGCGCGTTTCGAGTCTCCTTTCCTCCTCCTCCTCCTCCTCCTCCTCCTCCTCCTCCTATCTCATGCTGCGCTGGATTTTGGCTGCGGCCGCTGGGGCCTCAGAGATTTTCTCGCAGCTTGTGCCTATTTAGGCTGATACGTTTTCCTTGGAATTCGTCTCTTCAGGCTGGTGTGTTTTTCTCCCCTCCCCCTCCCCTCGCTCTCGGCCTCCTGCTCTTCCCTGAAAGTGGTGACGTCTACCCGGCCGGCCACTCTAGAGTAGCTCTGCCGCCATCGAGCTCGAGTCTATATCTGTTGGGTGCGATTGTAGCCCCCATGAGGGGACGCGGATCGGTTCTCCTGCGCCACCCCCGGACGGGCATCGTGTGTTTGTGTTCGTCAGTTTTGTCCTTTTAGAAAATATGACAGTTCGCTGCGGCTCTACAGAGCAGCCGAATGGTACTGCCAGTTATCCTCGCGCCTAATGTTCCCAGCGTCGTAACTTGTGTCGGTGTAATGAGAGTTATTGCGCTGTGTGTCGTTGAGACTCCGCAGAGCCTGCTGCTATGGCCAGTTTTACGCGTTGGCTGCATTTCAATGTTCAAGACGTTTGAGTCTGATCATCCTTGAATTTGTAGGAGAAATGCGGCCAGCTCTTGCGCTTCCTTCGTCCCGTTGCACAAAGGAGGTGCGGTTCCACTCTCCCTCCCTCTCTCTCTCGCTCTTTCCGTGCCCAGCCCCCCAATCCTTTGTTTCACCGTGTTTCAGTTCTTCCAGCCCAGATGCATTCGTGCCAGATTTCTTGAGTGGCCTGGACCTCTTGTTTACAGGGTTACTTTCACCCTGCTTTTCATTGCTCCGACAAGGAATGTGTGTGGCTTGGTGTTTGGGCGCGCCATTCATATGCTTCCCGCGGGGTTGTCTGTACAGAGCTGGTAATTTTTGGCATTGTTGGAGTGGGCCTGCCGGCCCAGCCGCATGGTTCCCAGTGCCTTTTCCGCGGCCTTGCCGTGGGCTGTCCGTGGCCTTCTCGTCCCTGCCTGGTGGTGATTGGAGCGCAGGGGAGGATATCCAGCGTATGTTTGCTTGCCATGTCATGTGCGCCACTGTCCATACTGGTCGTGACAGTCGTGCAGGGTGCGTGGGGCAGGCTTTGCATAATTGCCTGCCACTCCGTTGTGTGTTTTTCACTCGCTTGTGGATGGGAGGGCTTTCCTCCTGTCGGTTCCACAGCGAGACTGAAGCAGCCTCCCAGCAGCGCCGCCGCAAGTACGCTCCCACTGCGCCTAAAAGAAGATGCGGTGCGAAGCGATAGGTCATGTGGGGACTCATATGACCAGAATTGTGGCTAAGGGCCGTCCGCGTCTTGAGTCACTGTAGAAGTGTCGCCCGTGCTCTTGTGGCAGAATGCTTACCTGACCTGCTGTTTTGCTTGTGCGTGTATGTCTGTTAGTGCTCGCTCCACGAACCACGTGAGTAGCTATGACCTCTTCGTTGCTCTGGTAGGCATTTGCTCTCAAGGGTGATCACTGGCCAGGGTCCCAGTTTTGTTTATACTCGCTTGTTTTTCAGCAATGTCTGGGAAGATACCAGTCAGCGGCAGCGTCGTGGAGATCGAAGGCGATGACGTCAATGCGACTGTCTGGAAAACCGTAAAAGAGACTCTGATCTTACCTTTCCTGGACATCCCGTTGGAGACGTACGACTTGTCTTTAGAAAATCGCATCAAGACGCAGGATGAGGTGACTTTACAAGCTGTTGACGCTATCAAGAAACATAATGTGGGAATCAAATGCGCCACAATGGAGATAACGGAATCGCTGGTCAACGAGAAGAAGCTGAGAGGAACGTGGAAGACTGCGGCTGTTTTTGATCGCGAGCGAGCTCTTCGTCCTGCTGCATCCACCCTCAGGTGTGTTTTAGCAGAAGTAGCAGCATGCGGTGAGGAACATGGGTGTGCATCTTGGTACGGAACTATAGCAGCGCGGAGAGAATGCCATACAGTGTCGCAAGGGTAAGGGTATGTCGCACGGCAAGTATAGAGGTGGGAGTGAGTGACAGGGAAAGGGGCTGTACCTTCATTGCTTATACTGAAGTGGTTGCCAAGACGACGAGGCTTTTTCAAGGTGGCAAGGTTTAAAATTCATTGCCAATTGGTTTTCCGCTGTGCAGTTGGTGGGGTCAGTTTCGACGGCTGGCGAGATCAGCAGATGCGCTGTCGCGCTGTCGCGAGGGTCTTTGAGCAGTCCGTTTGAGCGACCGCTGATCGCGAAACTAAGCGTGTGGGTCATAATAGCAGTCTCCGAAATAATACTCTCATTCGAAGCACTCGTGCCGCGCCATGGGTTCCTGGCTCCGTGACCTCTGCAGTCTCGAAGCTGCACCTCCGTCGTCTCCATATTACGTGGCCCTCGTTTCCTTGCTTGCCTGATTATCTGTGTCATCTCCCTCTCTACACGGAGACGTTCATGCGTCCTGCCCACTTGCCTTCTCTTCCTTGTCGTTGCCTCAACCACGAAGGTCAGACTTTCCGATGAAGCCTCACGATATTGAAACCCTTCGCATGGAGGTGTGTACCCGCGGTTGCCACGACATTCGCAAGTCCAGGATCCGAATGCTTGTGCGACATGGTCTTCTGATTTGTTCTGGGATGCATGCATCTTTTGCCCAGTCTCACGAACGCGTTTCCGCACGATCGCGTTTCCTCATCCTTGCGTGAAGTCGACGGTGGCAGGTTGGCTGGTGTGGCATTCCAGATATGCTTCGTCCTGCACCAGACTGTTTTTCAGCTCTTAGCACCTCTGTGGGCGCCTCTCACTCCCCATCCTCCAATATCAAAGTCCACTCTCAGGTCGTACATGGAGGGCTCGAACTTCCGCACACCCATTCTCACTTCTAGCATTCCGAGAACTGTTTCGACTTGGAAGAAGCCGATTGTGATTGCGCGACACGTCTTCGGGGACCAGTACAGGGCGACCGACATTGTCGTGGAGAGGCGAAGCAAATATCAAATCGTCATTACTCCCGAAGATGGCAGCAAGGCCAGATCATACGATGTCTGCGATTTTGGCGACTCGGGAGGTGTCGCGATGGCCATGTACAACACCGACGAGAAGATCAGCGGCTTCGCGCACTCTTGCTTCCAGTATGCTCTGAGCATAAAATATCCTGTCTACCTCAGCGCCAAGGACGTTATGCTCAGAGAGTATGACGGGGCTTTTGTCAGGACCTTTGCGAACATCTTTGAAAAGGAGTATAAGGCAAAGTTCGACAAGGCTGGCATCTGGTTCTCCCATATGCCGATCGACAAGATGGTGGCTTTTGCGCTCAGCTCGGAGGGAGGCTTCATATGGGCACTGAAGAACTACGACGGTGACGTCCAGTGCGAGATGGTGGCACAGGGCTTCGGGTCCGCGGATCTCATGACCTCTGTGGTGCTGGGCCCCGACGGTAAGACGTTGCTGGCCGAGTCGGCTCGCTCGGCCACGACAGGGGGCACGACGGTGCACCGTGGCCAGCCCGCTATCAACCCCATGATGGACATCTTCGCGTGGATCCGTGGCCTGCAGCATCGCGCCAAACTGGACGACAACGCGAAGCTCGCGGACTTCGCGAGCAAGCTGGAGGCAGCCGCTGTGGAGACTGTGGATAAGGGAAAGGTCACGAAGGACCTCGTTGTCGCTGGAGCAGGTGGCAGGGAGGGTGGAGAATTTCTGAACTCCAAAGAGATGGTGGAGTGCATCGCGGAGGTGCTGCGGGAGAAGGTGATGGCTGGCACGGCCGTCATGTACACGCTCACTGACGAGGCACCGATGCTGGCCACCTACGCTCTGCTGCCCATCATTCGCTCCTTCACGCAGAAGGCCGGCATCAACGTCGAGCTCCGGGATATTTCAGTCGCGGGCCGCGTGATTGCGTCCTTTCAGGACAAGCTGCCCGAGAACATGCGCCAGGAGGACGAGCTGGCCGCGCTGGGGGACCTGGCCAAGTCGCCGGCGGCCAACATAGTGAAGCTGCCCAATATCAGCGCCTCCATCCCGCAGCTGAAGGCCTGCATCGCAGAGCTCCAGGCCAAGGGCTACACTCTGCCCAACTACCCCGACGAGCCGAAGAATGAGGAGGAGAAGGAGATCAAGGCGAGGTACGCCAAGGTGCTGGGTAGCGCGGTGAACCCGGTATTGCGCGAGGGGAACTCGGACCGAAGGGCCGCTGTTCCGGTCAAGAACTACGCCAAGAAGCACCCTCACAAGATGGGCAAGTGGAGCCCAGACAGCAAGACGCACGTGTCACACATGAGCGAGGGCGATTTCTACGCCAGCGAGAAGTCGTACGTGACCACGGATGCCACCGAGGTCCGGATCGAGCTGGCGGCGAACGACGGGACCACGACCGTGCTGAAGCCCAAGACCACGCTGCTCCCGGGAGAGGTGATCGACGCCTCCTTCATGAGCAAGAAGTGTCTGAGGGCGTTCTACAAGGCTCGTGGTCGGCTGGCCAGACTGGGCCAGGGGGGCCTCAGGAACAGCCGACCAAATCCTCAAGAGGCCCAGGCAGCAAAACCAGCATCGGCTGGTTCTTTTTTTTTGCTGGCTTCTCCTCGGAGTCTGTTCGCTCGTTCCTGAGCCCGCTGGCCCTTCGGATGGCCCGTCCACCACGGTGCGAGGCGCAGATCGAGGACGCCAAGAAGAAGGACGTCCTCCTCTCGCTCCACTTGAAGGCAACCATGATGAAGGTCTCGGACCCCATCATGTTCGGCCACATGGTCTGCGAGTATTTCGACGAGGTATCCACGGTGCCTGCTGGCCAGCCGCCCCTTGGTTGTTCCTGTGCGAAGAGTAGAGAAGAAGGATGATGATGATGATGATGATGATGATGATGATGATGATGATGATGATGATGATGATGATGATGATGATGATGATGATGATGATGAGGAGGAGGAGGAGGAGGAGGAGGAGGAGGAGGAGGAGGATGACGAGGAGGAGGAGGATGACGAGATGGAGGAGGACGAAGAGACGGAGGAGGAGGAGGAGGAGGAGGAGGAGGAGGAGGAGGAGGAGGAGGAGGAGGAGGAGAGGAGGAGGAGGAGGCAGGAGGAGGAGAGGAGGAGGAGGAGGAGGAGGAGGAAGGATGAGGAGGAGGAGGCGGATGGGAGGAGGAGGAAGAGGAGGAGAGGAGGAGGAGGAGGAGGAGGAGGAGGAGGAGAAGGAGAAGGAGGGGCGGGTGCGAGGAGGAGGAGGAGGAGGAGGAGGAGGAGGAGAGAAGAAGAGGATGAGGAGCAGGAAAAGGATAAGGAGGATGAGGATGATGAGGAGGAGGAGGATGAGGAGGAGGAAGAGGAGGAGGATGAGGATGAGGAGGAGGAGGAGGAGGAGGAGGAGGAGGAGGAGGAGGCAGGAGGAGGAGGAGGAGGAGGAGGAGGAGGAGGAGGAGGAAGCGGGTGCGCAGGAGGAGGAGGAGGGGGCGGAGGAGGAGGAGGAGGAGGAGGAGGCGGAGGAGGAGGAGGAGGCGGAGGAGGAGGAATAATAACAATACTGATACTAAGAACCGTAATAACAAGAATAAGAAGAATACCAAAACGAATAATATGAAACAGACGAATAATAAGAATAAGAAAACGAGTCATACGAATATCAATGATAAGAGTAAGAATGAGAGAACTAAGAAACATAATAATAATACTAGTAAGAAGAACACTCAGAATAAGAGCAGTAATAATAAGACGAGCACGAAGAATACGATTAATCATACTACTAATAATACGAATACTAAGAAGACTAATAAGAGTAAACAGACTACTAATACTACAACGAATAATAATATTTTCATAATAACAAGAAGAATATTACGAATACTAATAATAATACTATTAATAATAATATTATTATGAATATTAATAATACTAATAATACTAATAATAATAATACTACTAATAGTACTAATAATAGTAATACTAATAATAATAGTAATAATAGTAATAATAGTAATAATCATAATAATAATAATAATAATAATAGTAACACTAACAAACATATGAATATTAACACTACTAAGACGACTAATAATAATAATCATAATAAGAAGAGGAGGAGCAGAAAGAGGAGGAGGAGGCAAGACGCGATGTAAGAGGAGGTGAAGGATGATGATGAGGAGGTGGTGGAGGAGGAGGAGGAGGCGGAGCCCCACACCGCCAACGCCAGAGGTACGCTCCCGTGGCAGTAAACATCGTGTTTCCCTGGGACGTGACTCGCAAAGGGGTCTCCTTCAGGCTCCCCAGAGCCACCAGGACCTTCCCTGATGCTGTTTTCCTCGCCACCAGGGGCTGGGAAAGGGCCATTCCCAGGAGCCCCAACAGAGGGGCGGCCCGAGGCGGAGGAAGAGGAGGAGGAGGAGGAGGAAAAAGAAAGGAAAGGGGACAAGCTAGGTGCGCTCACGCCTTGTCTGACGTCCTACCCCTCCCACCCATCCCTTCCCACTGCGCTGATTGTTTTATCAGTCCGCCGACGCGCGTCGTAGCGGACCTTGAATTCTCCAAAGGACCTCCTCGTGCTTTGCGCAATCGGAAACAGAAGCTGCGTATTTTGGAGGAGTTGGCGGATGACCAGGAGGATGCGCAGGTGGAAACAGAAGATGAGGAAGGAGGAGGACGAGCAGCAGCAGCAGCAGCAGCAGCAGCAGCAGCAGCAGCAGGAGCTACAGTGAAAGGAGCGGGGCGGACGGACGGCCCCATTTTGGAGCTGGTGTCTTTGTCAAGGTTGCTGAAGAGCCCCGGACCGAGCTATGTTCGAATATTGAGGGCCATCGCCCCCTGCGCGGTCTACGTTGCTTCGAAACTACAGGCCTCCCCAACACTTGTGGATTCCCAAACCTGGATAGCGATGCGCTAGAGAGGCCTTTCGACAGCCTCTGGAGAGAGCTCTGGAAGCTCCTGGAAGGAGCTTCCTAAGGAGCTTCTGGAGAGCTTCCAGGCACACGTGCTGGGAAACGCTTAGAGAAGCCTTGCCAGCACACGCTAAAAGCTCAAGCAGCCTGCGCCGAGGCGTGCTGCCTTTGAAGCCAGAACGAGCTCTGGGGCCACCCTGCGGTGCTGGCTTCTAATTCTACAGCCCCCTCAGCTCTCCAAGGAGCTATGCGCAGGGCCAACCTGCGCGCGTGCGGCTGACGGTCGCCCTTGGCGTTTGTCGACATGTGAATTCACGTGTGCAGATGGGCACCCTATCCCGGTAGGTGCTGCGCCCAGATGCTCGCTGCATCACGCTCGGAGGGAGAAAAACAGATGGAAGCAGGTCGCGCCAGGTCTTCGCCCCGAGGCCGCGCGCCCGGGGTCTCGCCCCCCGGGCCGCGCACGCGTCCCCCCTCCGGGTCTCCCTCCCGGGGCAGGGCGCCCGGCGCCTCGCCCTCCACCGTGCGCGAAACGCGCCTGGCAGACGCCTGCAAGGAGGCTTGAAAGGATGCCTGGGGAGCTTGCAGGCTCGAGAACAGAGGCTTCGCAGGAGCTCCCACGGGGCTTCGACGGAACTGCGGGAAGGCTTCTGGCACGCGCGTTGGGAACGAGTGGGAAGACGCCCTCGGGACCCGCTGCCGGCTCACAGGAGGCGCTGCGGGGATGCTCTCCAAGGAGCTATCCAGGTATAGAGCGGCGAGAGAAGAGGCGAAGCCAGCAGAGGCAACAGCAGAGGGAGGATGGGGTCAGAGGGATGCCCTGGGCCCCCCCCCCCCCCTAGACCGCGCGCCACGGCCTCCGTTGCCCTCACGCTGCGGCGGTGGCGGACGCGGGGGTACAGGATGAAGGGGCGGGAGGAGCAAGAGGATCCGGGGAAGGCGGAGGAGGGGAACGGAGGGGGGCGACAACGAAGAGGACGGACTCGGATCCAGCGAAGTGGCCCGCGCTTCGAGGGTGCCACTCTGAACTTCGGGGGCAACTCGCCGATCCTAAGACGAGGTCCACGCTGCAGCGGCAGCAGCATTGAAGGATGGGAGAGGATAAGGTTCGAGACAGCCACAGGAGAGACTGACTTTCAAAATCTTGTGTGAGGAGAACACAGCACGCGGAGAGGGCGGGAATCCCCTGGCCCGCGGCCAGCAGCACCACCGCTTCGAGCACCATTCAGCTCCCAGAGTGTCGGGACCTGGGGTGCCATGGGTAGCGTCATCTCATCCAGCAGCATCACAGCTTCTAACGCGACAAGAACTCGAAACACCATTGGCTGTGCCACCAGCGCATCCAGCAGATCCATCAGAGCCGCAGCTCCCAGTATCAATGGAATGTGCGCTACCACCAGCAGCAGCGCCGTCGTAGCCAGCAACAACCTATGCTGCGGCTGATGTGGGGCCACTGGGGCTGCACCCAAGTGCTCCAGCCCGTCTGGCAGCACCATTGTGCCCGAAGCGTCGGAGATTGGCCGCACCGCCAGCAGCAGATCCCGCGCCCCCGTCAGCCCAGCAGGGCCCAGCACGACTGGAAATTGCAGATCCGTTGGCAACATCATGCGCACATCCAGCGGCGCTGCACGTTCCAGCACGACGGGCCTCGGCAGCACCTTCAGGGGCACCAGCGCATCCAGCACCACCGAAGTTCTCAGTAGGAAGGCCCACATCACAGTTCCAGCTTCACCTTCCACATCCACCACCACCACCATCATCACCGCCGAATTCGACATCACCTACGGCAGCTGCACTTTCTCGGAGGCTTCCCTTCTCGCCCTCGTCACGACGGCCGGCCAGTACCGCTCCGCATACCTCGGCACACAACCTTTTTCCACTACCCCTCCCCAGTCCGACGACCAACACGACCCTCCCATCTGTGCATCAGCCGGCTGCTCCGGGCGGCCTGGCAGAACCCCTGTGGGCAGTAGCACGAGTGCACCCAGCGGCACATCAGGTCCCAGCACGACGGGAGCCAGCAGTACTTCGTCAGCAGCATCATCATTTCCAGCAGCACCACAGCGTCCAGCAAACCGGGATCCAGCAGCACCACAGGCAGCAGGTCCAGCTCATCCATCACTCCCACGGTTCCCAGCACCTTGGGAACCGGCAGTACTGTTCGCAGCAGCTCCACCAGCAGCAGCTTCAGTGCAACCAGCCGCACTTCAGCTTTCAGCACGACGGGAGTCGGCACTACCATTGATTACAACACGAGCACAATCAGCAGCCCCACAGAGCCCACCACGGTGGGACCCAGCAGTACCATCGGCAGCAGTATCGACACACCCAGCAGCACTTCTGTTTCCAGTGCGACGTGAGCCAGCAGCACTACTGGCAGCCGCAGCATCAGCATATCCAGCAGCACCTCAGCGGCCACCATGGGACCCAGCAGTTCCATCGACATCATCAGCACATCCAATTACACATCCAGCAGCCTCACGGAGTACAGCACGATGGGACCTGGCATCATCATCATCGGCGGCGGCAGCATCATCACATTCAGCTGCAGCTCACATTCCAGCATGATGGGAGCCAGCGGCACCAGCCTCACTGGCAGCAAGAGCATCAGCACGTCCAGCAGCACCCTCGTGGACCTAGTAGCACTATCGGTTGCAGCATCAGCGCATCTAGCAGCCTCACAAAGTCCAGCACGACGGGTTCTCGTACCGTCAACAGCAGCAGCATCAGCACATCCAGCTACACCTCAGACTCCAGCCTGACGTGAGCCAGCAGTACCATCGGCAGCAGCAGCATCGGCACATCCAGCGGCACCTCAGAGTCTGGCACCACGACGGGACACAGCAGCACCATCGGCAGCACCAGCACATCCAGCAGCTCCACAGAGTCCAGCTCGACAGGATCCAGCTGCATCCTCGGTAGCTGCAGCCGCTGCGCAGCCAGCTCAACGGGAGCGGGCAGCACCAGCACGATCAGGCACCCAATGCATCCGTACGCCGTGGCTTACCTCCCATGTCTGGGCCATACTTTTGATCTTCTGTTGTGTCGTGCTGGAACTCCCAGGCTGAATTCGCCATAACCGCATCCCTACAGGACGACGAGCAAACGAGTGCCAGGAACATCATCTTCGACAAGGATGACTTTATAGGTATATCGGAGACGCATAAATGCAGATGACACAGCGCTCGGCGCTCGCCCCCCTCCCGGTGGTTGCTCATTCTGGTCGGAAGGCTCGCGCTCGCAGGCCAGGGTGGGCCTATCCGTGAAGAACGGCTTCCTGATGAAGCTAAACCCCGCTCAGCCACCGGCTTGGGCTGCCAAGTTATCCATACGGGGGCCGTCGGGCGCACTGGACATCATCGTGGTGTGTCTTGCTTCGGGCTCCGACCCGGCCATCCGCGCAGCTCGACAAGCTACGATGACCTTGATCGCCCAGCACGTGGCTCCCCGGGAGCAGGCTCTGACAGTGATCTTCGGGGATGTCGGCTTCGTCGTGGACCGACGGGGGCGTTGGTCGAAGTCAGATGGGTCCCGGTCTGGAGATCTGGACACCAGAGACGCCTGACGATTCGAGTCTCTGCTCTCGCCTTGTGGATTCTCCGAGCTGTGCCAGCCGCTCTTCGCCCACGAGTGCCATCCGAGTCCCGCCCTGCTGGCCGTTCACCTCTCGGTCCACCAGGCGGTTGCATTCGGAAGGTCTTCGGCCGCGGCGGACCAGTGGGGGAGGCGGGTCTGCGAGGCTTGCGGCCCGCCTCGACTTGTGCAGGAGAGTGGTGCTCGAATTCTACAACCTGTTGCCCAAACATGCCGCTCGCCCCTCGCCAGTGAGACGGCTGATCCTGGTCAAGAGTGCCATGCGCACGGTGGCCAATGGCATGTGGCGGGAGGAGCTTGAAGCCTGGGCAGATGGTACCGATGACGATTCGGGTTGGGTGCTTCGCTTTGTCGGCACAGCAGAGCGCGTCGCTGCGGCATCAAGAAGGCCATGAACGCCAATGGTGATAGCACTCCCCTTCTCAGCCTGGAGGGCGCTCGGCAGCCTTGGCCGACATCCTAGACGACGTCGCGGCAGTGCTCGAGCGGGAGGACGCTGGCGACATGATGTGACAAGCTTGCCAGGGCGCGGGGGACGAGGAAACCCACCAATACAATCTGGGAGCTCTGGCGTGCTTGCCGAAGGCGCTGGCTGGCGAAGACCTGGACCTTGGCGCTTACTTCATGGCGGCCGACACGCGTCCGCTGTCAACCGTGAGTTCCGACCGCGGACTTGTGACGAGCGCCCTGCGGGTTCGCTGGGAAGACGACTTCGACGGGTACGTCTGGGTACGCCAGCGGGGGTTCCTGGAAGTTCTTTTCCATCCTGAGGGACTTCCTCGAAGTGGAATACGCAGTGATGTTGTGATCCCTGCGTGAAGACCAGGGCGCCGCTGTCTCCTCGGCTTTGCGGCCGCGTTTCCTTCTATGTCCCAGGACTGCATCGCAGAGCGCTTGAAAGACGTTAGGGTTCCGAACTCAGTGATCTACGCCTTCCACGTTCCTAGCACATGTGGCGTCTTCAGCAAACTTAAGCGTTTCGAGGGCTCCAAGATTGCCAGATACCGCCGCTGATTTACACGTTCCTGGCGGAGAGCCTCCTGGACACGATTGACACGCGCTGCCCAGGCGTATATTGACGACGCGGCGATGGTGCTGCAAGGCTTCTGGCGTTCTGCCCTGGCGCGGGTGGTTGTCTTCGACTTTCGGGAAGGTTTCGGGATGGCTTAAATGCGGCGAAAACGTTCGTCATCCCGCTCAACGCTTCTCCCTCCGACGATTACGGGCGATGGAAACTGAGGGATGTGCTTTCATGCGATGCCTCGGACGTGTCGGGATGTACGAAATTTAAAAAGGAATGTGAACGGCGCTGAGGCCAGAGCCACGTTTTGAACGGGAACCTCCCTCAATCCGTGAAGCTGTTGCGGACGTTTAATATGACCAGTGTGCGTGGCGCTAAGGCGAGAGGCACATGTTGAAACTTGCATTTTTTATACGAATGTACGCGGTGCTACGGCGAGAGCCAGATTTTGAAAACCACCCGCCCTCAATTAGCACAGTTTTTGAACATTTTGTAGACGAATCTGTGCGGCGCTTAGGCGAGAGCCGCATTTTGAAAACAACCCGCCCTCATTCCGTGGAGGTCTTGCGGCGCGAAGGCGATCGCCACATTTTAAGAACCACCCTCCCTGCATTTGTGAATCTGTTCACACGTGGTAAGAAGTCTCAGGGTTACACGTGGTAAGAAGTCTCAGGCGAAACGCTTGAGTCTCGACCAGCTTCGGGGTGCGACCGGGAAGAATTATGTACATGGGAAAGGAATGGACGAGGAGGCGGAAAAGACACAGGAGGAGGAGGTGGAGGAGGAGGGGGAGGAGGAGGAGGAATGGGAGGGGAGGGGGAGGGGGAGGGGGAAAAGGAGGAGTATGAGGAGGAAAAGGAGGATGAGGAGGATGAGGAGGATGATGATGAGGAGGAAGCGGATGATGATGATGCTGATGATGACGATGCTGATGATGATGATGATGATGATGATGATGATGATGATGATGATGCTGATGCTGATGATGATGCTGATGATGCTGCTGATGATGCTGATGATGATAAGAAGAAGGATGAGGAGGATGAGGAGGAACATGATGATGAGGAGGAGGAGGAGGAGGAGGAGGAGGAGGCGGGCCCTGTTTCTCCTCCTCCCCCTGTTCCTTCTCCCCTGCCTCCCTCTCCTTCCCCCTTCCCTCCTCCCTCAACCCTTGCCTTCCCCCTTCCCGTCCCTCCAGAGTCGACCGGGCCACGCGGCTGCACCGAGCCCCTGCAGGTACCGTGCCTCTGCTGGCCACAGACGGCGCTCGCTTCTTTCTCCTTTGCTCCTTCTCCTATTCCTCGTCCTTTTCCTCGTCCTTCCTCTCCTTCTTCCTCTCCTTTTCCTCGTCCTTTTCCTCTCCTCGTCGCTCCTTCTTCTTTCTCCTTTCTCCTTTTTCCTCGTGCTTTCTCCTTTTCCTCGACCCTCTCCCTGAACCTGGCGTGCCTTCGGGGCTGGCCGCGGCTTCCAGAAGCACGGCCCGACCCTGGAGCGCTTGGGCGCGAACCCGAACAACGGCTGGGGCGACATCGTGTCCAAGGCGGCGGCCGCTCCAGGGTCATGAGGATGTTCCATCATCGACGTTGCACCGCGTGCGCATCATATTCCTTTGTCCTGGCGTGAGTCGATATCGCGTGGTGGCAGCAGTGCCTGAGTTACAGAGTGGCCGAATGCTTGAGGATGAGCCTCGTTGGCCTATGTACGGTGGGTGGGCAGCCGGGTGTTTCCCACCCTCGTATTGTTGATCTCTAGCTGCTTTGCTTGCGCGCTGCTGATCACCGCAACCGCTTGTGGCCCAGAAGGCCTAGGATATGACCTGGAGCCCGAAGACTCGTCGCTATCGACAGTGGTTGAGAGTGGTCAGGGATTAGGAGGAGTGGCGAGACGGAGGAAGGGAAGGAGTGGCAAGCTCTGGGCTTCTGCCTCCCCCCTGGCCGTAGTTCCAGCTGGCCTTAGTGGACCCCTCGGGTAGTCTGGGGCGGTCATAACACGCGAGCCCTGGGAGCCGTCGCCGACGTCGCCGTCGTCGTTTACGGCCAATGGGCAGAGTGATGCGAGTGGCACGTCAAAAAACAATGCTGTGCGGAATGACTTTTATAGCATCTCTCGGGCACTGGTGCCTCGTCGTCGTCGCCGTCGCAGCTGGACAACTAAGCAAATACAATGATCGAAGTTCGGGGCTTCCGCTGGCAGCGTCCCGATGGGGGCGTATGTGGTTCTTGTGTGTGTGTGTGTAGCTACGTCAACCAGTCGGGCCCCCAAAGCAAATCCAGACGGGAGTTCAGCTGGTGGCGTAATGGTTCCCGCGTTTCGTTGGCGCCACGCAGCCTTGGCCCCGGAGCGAGCGAGCAATCCGCGCAACTAGTACTGTACTTTGGTGGAGGTACCGCGGGGATGGTCCAGCACGGCGAGCGAGTGACGCGGTCCGTCTGTGCGAGGGCTGGGTACTCCTGTGACCAGATGTCTTGCCAGCGCCCGGCCCTTCCATGGCCGTGTAACTTCCGTCC